TGCTGTTCTCTAAAGCTTTTTGCAGTCTTTGATTTTCTATATCTAAACCCTGGTAGCTAACTTCCAAGCGTTCTGTTTTCTTGAAAGATGCTTTCAGGAGCTCCAAACCTTTTTTAAGTTGCTCTTTTTCACTTTCCAGTTCTTTGTTTTCTAGCTGTAGCTGAGCCATTTTCATGCTTGCACACTTCAAAGATTCTACATTCCTTCGCAGCTCTAAGTTTTCCTCATCAAGTTGGGAATTCTCTTTCTCTAGGGATTCTAACTGAAAGGTCAGATTTTTAAAGCTATCCAATGTTTTTTTTAATTTTCTATTTTCTCTTTCCAGCTCTGAATTTTCTTGTTCTAATGCCTCAATTTTTTCACAAGTAATTTTTAAATTAGTTATTTTTTTCTGTAACAATTCATTTTCCTTTTCAAGATGATGCAATTCATCTTCAAGTTCTTCTGCTCGTTCTCCTTTTTCTTTATAATGTTCCAATTCTTTTTTAATTTGTCTTTTTTCAAATTCAATCTTGCTTAGCTTGCTACTTGTTTCTTTGATGGATTCATGGAGAATTTTGTTTTCTTTTTCAATGTCTTTCACTCTTGCTTCTGCACTTATCTGGGACCGCTGCCTTAAAGAAGACACTGTTTGATTCAGATGTTCATTTTCCTGTTCCAATATCTTAATCTAATTTGAAAAAGAAAATAATTAAAAGCTGTAATTGAGGAAAAACTAACTATGGTTTATCTCTTCCAAAAACTACCAAGAAAAGGGGAACAAAAAAAAAGGGTACTAGAATGCCTGTCTTACTTTTAATTCTGACAAGTATTTACTGAAGACCACTGTGTACACATGCTGTCAGGTCATTAAAGTTCATGTCTTTAGGAAGTTCACAGTTTAAAGGAACGATTGAGAAATGTATTTTCTATTAATCATAATGGTCTTCAGATTATTTATAGTTACATGCTTCAAATACAAATAGGAATACCAGTATAACACACACACATACCTCCTTGAGAACATAAGGTTTTACTTTTACTGAGTAACTTTTGCAATGCCTACAGTGGGTCCTCAGTAAATACGTGCTCTATTGTATGTGTATATATCGGTTTGTATGTGTGTGTATTCATTCCCAAAAAGAATTCTAAGTAGGAAGCATCAAAATCACAAAAATTACTGGGTACATTTGAGAACTAATTCATCCAATTTATACCATGACCTAATACAATGATTCTCAAAATTTAGTGTGTTAAATAATCTCAAGAAGCTTGGAAAAGTGAAGATTGAAGCTTAGTCTAGAATTTCTGTTCGGTATCTCTAAAGAAACCTTCATTTTTATGGCTGGTCTGAGGACTACACCTGGATGATATAAACAAATAATCTTACTTCTAAAAAAATTAATGCTCAGGCATGGTGGCTGACACCTATAATCCTAGCACTTCGGGAGGCTGAGGCCGGAATATCTCTTGAGACCAGCCTGGGGAGCATAGCGATACTTTGTCTCTACCAAAAAATAAAAATTAAAAAATTAAAAAATTATCTGGGCATGGTGGTGCATGCCTAGTAGTCCCAGCTGAGGTGAAAGGATTGCTTGAGCCTAGGTGTTCGAGGTTGCAGTGAGCTATGATTGTGCCACTGCACTCCAGCATGAGTGACAGAGCTGGACCCTGTCTCAAATACATAAATATTTCAAAAACAAGTCAATTAATCTATCCAGTTCTCAGTTTCCTCAAACATAAAATAAGAATGAACATTAAACACTTGAAAACAAATTTCATAATATCCAAGACAGTGTGGTTGCCACCGCATTTCTCCCTCTTCGGTAGGTCAGAGGACAGCTGCATTTCCTGGCCAACTCCACTCAGGGACTCCAGAATCTGCAGCCCTATTCCATAGACGCTTGAAAGCACAAGTACTGCAAATGCTTATACTAGATGATTATCAAGCACACTAGCAGTTTAAAAAACTCTAAGCTTTCTCTTCAACTTTCCTAAGATACATAGGTTAGAAAATGAGGTAAAATTACAATTACTTTGAAATAAAAAAATTCTAAAATATTTCCCTTTAATGTTTATATCAACGTTTTGTTTGCATATATTTTAAATAACTTTTGCTAATAAATTTTAAAATACATTGTTTACTCAGTAAAAAAATGTATGAACCTGTCTCTCTGAATTTTCTCTCAGTGTTTCAATTGTTTTTTCAAGCTGAGCTTTCTCCTTCATTAGATCCTTGCTTAAATTCTGACAATTCTGAAGACTTTGCTTTTCTTGAACAATCTCATTTTCAAGAATTTCAACCTAGAGAAAATTAAATCACAAAACAATATGTTAAATATTCTACAATAGTGAAAACATGTCAAAACAAAAGATAATCACTGAATAAAGGATAAAATAGTGTTAATATCCAAATGCTAAAATTTAAGAACTCAGTATAGAAATTCAAGCAGCATTCCATGCTAATTTCTGTAGCTGTATAAAATCTGCAGACATGATTTCTTATCCTATGCATCTTTTGGGGTAAGTTTCATTTTCTAAACACAAAGACAAATCCAGCTGAATAAATGATAATGTGCTATATGAGAACTATATAAACTTTTTAAAAAGATTCTCTTGGCTTCAGTGGATTTGTAAAGTAAAATTTTACTTATACTCAGAGAATTTCAGTGAGCAAGAAGGGAGAAGATATAAAAAGCATGAAGGAAAAGATGAGAAATAGTACAGTATAAGTTCAATGAGGAAAAAAGAAAGGACTTGGTTTAAAATAAAAAAGAGGGAGAAAAAGACTACTACTATAAAAAATGACTAAGGAAAACAGCAGCAAATATTTATATTTCAGGTTCAAATTTCTTTTCAATTACACATTTTAGAGATAAAAAATACTGGTAGTTAATATGTACAAAATAGCAAATTAAAGTTAAAAATATGCTAAGACTATTGATTTTTCCATTATCATATATTCAAACTAGGCAATTAAAAAATCGAGAAGACTTTATAAAATATTCTACTGCAAGTTAAATGTTAAATTCTTATGTCAATAGTGAAGCACTCTAAAGCAATTTTAATTTTCCTATTTTAACATTAATGGAAATAACTACACATGGAAACAATCTTCCAATAATATTTCTAGCCTGGGCAACATGGTGAAACCATGTCTCTACCAAAAACAAACAAACAAAAAAACCACAAAAAAACAAAAAACTGAGCCAGGCATAGTGGCCTGTGCCTGTAGTCCTAGCTACTTGAGAGGCTGAGGTGGGAGGACTGCTTAAGCCTGAGAAGCGGAGGTTGCAGCGAGCTAGGATTGCGCCACTGCACTCCAGTATGGGTGACATAGTGAGACCCTAGCTCAAAATACTACTACTACCAATAATAATGGTAATAATAATAATATGAAAAGCACCAGGTCAAAAAACTTATCCAATAACTCAATTCAACATTAATTTACAGTTCAGGAAGCTTTCAGTTATGAATAATTAATCTGGTTCTCATATTACATATATGGAAATATATGAATGACAGTTATTGAAACTCATTTGTTGTTTTGTATCAATGGGATTAAAGTGAAACATTCAGTTTATAAAAAATCATTTTTACAATTAATTGATCAAAAATTGCTTGAATCACTAAGAATTTACAAATCAAACTTCAAAGCTAATTTCAAAAAGAAACTGTACTCTACAGGCCCAATTTTAACGACAACCAAAATAAAACTGTTCTAAATTCTAAATGGCCATCCTACTTTAACACTATATTGTCAAACACTCACTAAGATTATTTAGTTAATGGATTGAAGACAATGCAAAAACGTTTTAAAACAGTAAAAATCTTACAAGAATACCAAGGAGCCTCTGAATAATCTAAGGCAGTGGTTCTCAAAGCATGATTCCAGGACAGCATGATGAGCATCACTTAGGAACTTCTTAGAAACAATTCTTAGTCATGCATGTTTTTATGATGGGATTCTATTTATGTAGAATTATGTGCACAGAAAGATATGCAAAAACAAAACACTTGTTCTTCCATAACTAAGTATTTCTGTTCAATCAGAGTCTGATTAAGATTCAAGTTTCATAATACCTAAATTGTGGTCTCTAAATATTATTTCCCACTAAACGGAATAAAGGCTAATTTTAGAGAAATGGCTGTCTCCAGATCTGGGACAGAAAATATTCAAGATGAGCCTAGAATATTTTGTCATGGCAGAAAGTAAGACAACTCTCAAGGAGTGCTAAGGCCATGTAACAAGGATTCAGAACCAAAGCAGCTTTTAAAGAGGCTTCCACTAGCCCGAGTTGAGACAGTAAGAAAAACAAATGGAGTGGATTGAAACAATACAAATATTTTTAAATTCATGGGTTCATAATGATACTGAAACAACAAACTCACTCACTGTTCTCTCAAGAAGATATGAGAGAACCAATTCATTATTTGGAAGCTGGCAAATATAACTCCTCTAGCCCTGCTGCCTCTTTTTTTTTTTTTTTTTTTTGAGACTGAGTCTTGCTCTATGGCCCAGACTGGAGAGCAGTGGCGCATCTCGGCTCACTTCAACCTCCAGCTCCCAGGTTCAAGAGATTCTCCTGCCTCATCTTCCTGAGTAGCTGGGATCACCAGCACCCACCACCATATCCGGCTAATTTTTGTACTTTTAGTGGAGACAGGGTTTCACCATGTTGGCTAGGCTGGTCTCAAACTCCCGACCTCAGGTGATCCATCTGCCTTGGCCTCCCAAAGTGCTGGGATTACAGGTGTGAGCCACCGCACCTGGCCAAGATCAGCTAGTAAGTTCTTAATTGTTGAAGCTGAATAATGAGTATAGGATTCATTCACACCATATTTGTGTGTATTTGAAAAATTTCATAAGAAGTTAAAATAACATTGAGGGTGCATTTAAAAAGTGGAAAATAAATGTGCCATTTATTTACACTTTTACAAGTATTTTTTAACATTAAAATAAACATTACATTTTAATTTACCTTTTTACTGAGTCTTTGATTTTCTTTTTCAATTTTCAGGATTTTGGAAGCATTGCCTTCTACAGAATCCATAGTGGTCCGAAGCTCTTCTACAGTTTTTGTCAAACTTTGATTTTCCATCTCTAACTTCAATAATCTACTTGATGTCAACTCATTCACCTCATGGCCCAGGGATTTCTGTGGTGCTATAATATTGAAAAATACACCATTGTATTTACTCTTTACCATTTTTACTATGTTTACTCTTTACTATTTAAAAAGTTCAGTATATATGCATTGCATCATTTGATCCTTAACTTTATTAAAAATTCAATGAGATTATATAAGATAAACACGATAAGAGAGATAAATCTTTTTCTCCTTTTCTTTTTTTCTTTTTTTAAAGAGATGGGATCTCTCTCTGTCATCCAGGCTGGAGTGCAGTGATGCATTCCTAGCTCACTGCAGCCTCAAACTCCTGGTCTGAAGGGATCCTCCCACTTCAGTCTCCCAAGCGGTTGGGACTACAGGTACAGCCAACTAATTTTTTTATTTTTTAGTAAAGACTGGGTCTCTGTTACTTAGGCTGGTCTGGAACTCCTGAGCTCAAGCAATCCTCCTGCCTTAGCCTCCCAAAGTGCTGGGATTACAGGCATGAGCTGCTGCACCCAGCCAAGAGATGAATCTTTAACTTTTAATGCATCCACAGCATTCTAGTGAAAAAAAGCATAAAATTTAGATTGAAGAAACTGGAGTTCAAGCAGACCCATTAAATATTTTGCTGATACAAGAACATTAGGATTTACAAATGAAAGATGAGACCTACTATTTCAAGAAAGGAAATGAATAAAGGCACTGGAGGGAATTTCCAGGTCTGCTTTTGTGTATGTTTCAAATTCTTCTTCATAAAAACCAAAGAAACACATGCACATCCAACATATCCCCCACCATGTATAAAATCTCTTCAAAATTAGATAAGTAAATAACCTCCATATTTAAGTAAAGAAAACCTCAATTTTTATTTCCAGCTTTTCTAGTCATCATGTTGTTAATCTTTTACTGAAAGCTGGTATACTGAATAATTACTGACTTTTAACATTCCATTAGTTGCCCAAGTCTTTTTTTAAATTAAAAGATTATTTAAATTTAATTATAAACTTACAGGATACATTATTCTAAGTAGCAACTAATGAAGGATTAAATGAATTTTGAAAATACAATACTACTTGTTTTACTTTGGCTAAAAGTTCAAAATGAATATTCTGAGCATGCTGAAATTATTTTAAAATCTTAAATCCACTTCCATTCATTATCCCTTTATAAATCTGATTCTGTCTTAAGATATCTATTAAAACACAGTATAGAGTTTAAATATATAATATTCCCCAAGAGTAGCATTACTGTTAATCTACCTGGATTAGGTGTTTTTAAATAGTCACCATGATAAACAATAAATCTCTTGAAATTATTTCCATCTAAGTGAAATCTTGTGTCCTTTGACTAACATCTTCCATATACCCTCAACCCCTCAGCCTCTGCTAACAACCATTTTACTCTGTTTCTATGAGTTTGAATTTTTTTGATACCACATATAAATGAGATCATGCACTATTGTCTTTCTGTACCTAGCTTATGTCACTTAACATAATGCCCTTCAAGTTCATCCATATTGTTGCAAATGACAGATTTTTTTTTTTTTTTTTTTTTTTTTTTTTTTTTTCCTGAGACGGAGTCTCACTCTGTCACCCAGGCTGGAGTGCAGTGGCGTGATAGTGGCTCACTGCAACCCCACCTCCCAAGTTGAAGAGATTCTCCTTCCTCAGCTTCCCGAGTAGCTGGGATTACAGGAACCCGCCAGCACGCTCAGCTAATTTTTGTATTTTTGATAGAGATGGGGTTTCACCACGTTGGCCAGGCTGGTCTCAAACTCCTGGTCTCAGGTGATCTACCATCTCAGCCTCCCAAAGTGCTGGGATTACAGGCGTGAGCCACCATGCCCGGCCAAACTTTTTTTTTTTTTTTTTGAGACAGAGTCTCACTCTGTCGCCAGGCTGGAATGCAGTGGCACAATCTTGGCTCACTGCAACCTCCACCTCTTGGGTTCAAGTGATTTTCCTGCCTCCGCCTCCCAAGTAGCTGGGATTACAGGCGTGCGCCACCACACTCAGCTAATTTTTTTTTTTTTTTTTTTTTTTTTTCCAAGTAGGGCAGGAGTTTCCACCATGTTGGCCAGGATGGTCTCTCAGCTAATTTTTTTTTTTTTTTTTTTTTTTTTAAGTAGAGACAGGGTTTCACCATGTTGGCCAGGATGGTCTCGATCTCTTGACCTCGGGAACTGCCTGCCTCGGCCTCCCAGAAGTGCTGGGATTACAGCCATGAGCCACCACACCCGGCAACCCCCCCCTCCCCACCACCTTTTTTTCTTCCTGGGACAGAGTCTTACTATGTCACCTAGGCTGGAGTGCAATAGGGTGATCTCAGCTCACTGCAACCTCTGCCTCCCAGATTCAAGAAGTTCTCCTGTCTCAGCCTCCCAAGTAGCTGGGATTACAGGTGCACGCCACCATGCCTGGTTAATTTTTGTATTTTTAGTAGAGACGGGGTTTCACCATATTGGTCAGGCTGGTCTTGAACTCCTGACCTTGTGATTCATCTACCTCGGCCTACCAAAGTGCTGGGATTACAGGTGTGAGCCACTGCACCTGGCCAGAATTTCATTCTTTTTATGACTAACATTCCATTATGTATATAAAACACGTTTTCTTTATCCATCATTTCATTGACACAGATTGATTCCATATCTTGACATATGTGAATAATGCTGCAACAAGCATGGGAATACAGATATCTCTTTGATATACTGATTTAATATCCTTTAGATATACACCCAGGAGCAAAACTGCTGAATACCATGAGAGTTCTATTTTTAATTTTTTGAGGAACCTCCACACTGTTTTCCAGAATGGCCAAACCAGTTTACATTCCCACCTATTCCATAGAAACTTGAAAGCACAACTACTGCAAACTTTTATACTAGGTGATTATTAAACACACTGGCAGTTTAAAAAACTTCTAAGATACTTTTAACTTTCCTAAGACACATGGGTTAGAAAATGAGATAGAAAAGTTCTGAAGCAAATTTTCTGAAATTCTGTAAATTTTCTAGAAAGTCCCTTGTATAATTTAAAAAATAAAAACTACACCACAGTAAAGCAAATATTCTGTTCTACAACCCAAGCTAAGATCAATTACAAAACAACAGTGACAGAATAATAATGATATTTAATACTTGAATTCTTACTATTTACCAGGCACTATTTAAGGGCCTCACAAATACCAACAATTTAATCCTCAGAAGTCTAGACTAACAGAGTAGTAATTCTTAATTAACAGAGTAATTCTAACTACCTTTAGTAGAAAATACTTAAGTCTGAATTGCTTTCTTTGTAACTCAATTCACAAGGAATATAATTTTTAAAGTTTCACAAATATTTTAAGTAACACAGGTTCAATGATTGAATATCATCACTTACTCTATAGTTGGTACATGGGGCCCCAGAATTTGGTATTCGATTCTCAAGTGTAAAATAGGAAGAACCTAACTGGTAATCAATAGGAGGAATCATCTATAGAGGTAATTATTCTGTAAGCACCAGATTATAAAATCTCAAGAGTTTATGTCTACCTCAACAGTACATCCTCGGTGTCTGGTATAGTATTTTACACATGATAGGTGCTTAGTAAGTATTTGCTGAAGAAATGCAAGTAGAACAATCTAACACTGGGCAAAACTGACGAGTTTTGAAACTAGTCTAATTTGAATAAATGTGACCTAACTGGTGAATTTTTTTGTAATTTCAAAAATTCATATTGCACATCCAAAGCTATAATCCAAACAACTGTATAAAATTATGCCCAGCTTTGAGAAAGAGGACAAGTCAATGTGAAGCCCAGGAAAAAAGAGCAAAAAGTTAAAAATTTACTTGGGGGAATCTTTCATTAGGTCCATGGTATAACCAGGCTGGGCTGGTTGGCAGGTATAATCTTACAATGGAGACTATACATATTACAAGTAGTCATGAAGATCCTTAAATTAACTAATTCTAACTATATTTTCACCTGAAAATTTGCCCATTATGCTTTGACTCCCTATTTGGGTTTACCTATAGTCAAAGAACATGCTGACCACTAATATGACTTTTCTATTCTATTTACTAGATGACTATATTTCTTAAAATAAATTAATAAACTGGTATTGCAGCCTCTTAGGATACTAACATGAAATAGTGGATAAGAAACCAATTAAATCTCTTATTGCATTCATAAAATTCAGTTGTAAGACATGCAAAGCTAGGGACCAGACCCAAGAAAATGCAAACAATGTATTACTGTGTGAAATCGTATCTATGGAGACAGGTAGTCTTCTGAGATATCTCCCACTGCAGAAAATAAAGAACTGAAAGTAAACATAAATATAACTTCATGATTCAATTATCTATTTAAATTTTTAAAAAATTGAGAATACCTTCGGAAAGTTCACTAGTTCTGGATATCTGTTCCAGCTCCCAGCCAAGATGTAATGATTCATCCATACTTTGTTTCTGTGCCATTTCCAAAGTCATATTTTCTTCCATTAATTCTTCAATCTTTTTTCTATCCATATCTCGTTCCTTTTTTATTGGCAAGGATTAGGGAGAGAAAAAAGGCTAAGAAACAGTACAATTTCAAGCAAAAACTTTATTACTCAACTTTTATTTATCAGAAACTTAGTCATAATCATGAGTTCCTTAAATTGTTCAGTTTTGAAGGCACTTATAATTATGACTGGTAATCATACTGATTAAGTGTCTGACATCCTTTTAAGCTGATCTTTGGGGACACAATGAAAATTCTTCTTCATAGTCAACATACTGTTTTGGTGATATAACAAAAGAATTATGAACCAACGCTAAATTTTAGCAAACAGATTTCTGTATTTTTAAAGACATGTTTACACAATAGCTTATTTATTGTGGTACTGAAAGGTTGAAGACAAAATTAGTAAGTAACATGCTTCTGTAACAAAAGCAGAAATTTCTACTACTTTTATATTTATATAAAGTTGGAGGCATCTAACTTATTTAGCTCTCTCTTCTCTGTTAAAGCCTCAAGGACACTAGCCATCCTTGCCAATACAAGGAAATCAGTTGAATCTTGAAAAGTTTTCCTTAGAGGCCATGTAACTGATCTCTCTCTTAAAACTTACCATTTCCATATCATGAAGTTTAGCTTTTAGTTGTAAGTTCTCTTTTTCTAATTCATGTAATTTATCAGAACGAGCACGAGTTCCTTCTAGTTGGTCTTCCAACATGGTTTTTGTTTCTAATAAAACTTGATTGTCTTCTTTTAACTCCTATAAACATTTATCACAAATGTGTTAATATCTGTTAATTTTTTAAAGTTATGGAACATAGAGATTATCACAAAACATTAAGCCATCTTTATCAACAGTTTTATGCATGAGTAAACCTACTAATAGAAATACAATTAATGTTTTCTTGGCTTTTTACCCCAGAATGCAAACAAAACACTCAGTACTTAAGATATGAACTACTACTGTAACTTCACATTAAATTGTCGGGGCATATTTAACTTCCTCAGTCACAAAGATAAGGAATTAACTAAGTAGAAGTAATCTTCCAGATATTTAAGATACAACTCTCCATGGAATCAAGGCTTAATGTATTGACTGAAATAGATTTAAATATTTCTCTGTACTTTGGGCTATAACTTCGAAGTGAAGGGCTTGAGGTTTTTGCAGTAAAATACCAAGACTTGAATCAGAACTCACATAAATCATAAACCAAGGCTCTATTAATAAATATTTTACATAAAT